ATAGTCGACAAGAAATAGAATATATCTTTATAATCTCTGATCGTTATAATCTCTGATCGAGAGATAAGTTCTAAACTTCAATACTTATAGTCAGCTTTCATTATATTTATCAACTCACACCTTCTATAACCGTGAATTAGGTACGAAACATATGGTCAGTTTCTATGTTGACTGGGCCATATTTTCCAATAGGAAGATGCGTTTTTTTTTTTTCCTTTTTTTGTGGATATAACAATAATCTGAATGACCGAGTTTTGTTTAAAAATGACAGTAAAAGTAACAGTGGAAATACAGTAGTAATGGCTGAGAGGATAACAGTGTCATTAATGAGCCGGAAATCGTGCAAATATCCAGATGAAGGTTCTGGATTTGCTTGTGATTTCCTTTTTTCATAAGTTGATCACTAATCTGCCAGTCATTATCACTTCAAGACTGTCACGAAAATATGTGCGGCTGTCGATATCTGCGTGGTTTATAACCGAGATGTTTTGCAGTCAGACACTTCTGGTTTTATCGGCGGAAAAAGCCAAGTGTATTATAAAAAGCAATAGACTGCACCTTCTAGTGGTTTACCGGGCTAACAACCTATTGGGATATTGATAAAACAGTTCAAAAGTATGTTTATCAAACGCCTTTGGCACGGTGCAACTTGCAACCTTTCCCCCTGTTCTTCCCACATCCCCATCATTGGATAATTACAGGTTACATCTCAGCTATTACACCACGATAATGACGTCAAGGAGGTTGTTTTGTCACAACCCACTATCACGTTGTACAAGTCAGCCGATCACAAAATCTTAGAATTTTTATTTTTATCTACCCTCGCTAAATCATTTGTCTACATTTTTAATTCGGCATTAAAAAGCAAGAGAATTTAAGTTGCATATCAATTTCAGTCTAAAAATATTTTGAAACTTGATTAATGCGATTTAGTGCGTTCTTTGTTCAAGCTTTTATTTCCGCACCCGACATACCTTGTTCTTCAAACTGTCTAGCACCGTGATGCGCATAAAGGCTTTATAACTAAAAACGAGTCTGAATTAGTCCTTTGGAAAGTTAATTTGCAGCGACTAAAAACATCTCACCTCTATCCCATACAGTGACACCTGTTTAAAGCTTTAATAAGTTAAGCACGTGGAGGAAATAATTTAAGGTACGAGTTGCGCTACAACACGCCTGAAATAGATATGTTCACGTAAATAACGTAACACTGCAAGAGATGAATTAGACGCATAATTCAATAGCTGATGGTATCGCTGTGTTAAGAGATCTTCAAACCAGCAGCAGGTAAGGACGATTTAGATGTGTAAAATAACATTTTTACCGGTCATGTGTAGGGATACTTAGGGTCAATGTAGCACGTACCGCGTTTTTGTTTTTCTAATTTAACTAATCACATAGCAACCCGCACTCTTCGCGCTGCGGAAGTATTTTGTAAAAAAAAAAAAAAAAACGTAAAGGAAAAAGACATCGAAAACTAAGGTGATTCAGTAGGAAACTCTGTGGTTTAGACCGATTTGAACCTTTGACAGGGCATTTCCATGCGTTATTAGAAATATAGAGATCGGCAATGAGTTGACAGATCCGTGTGGTGAGTCAGCCAAACAGATACTACGGAAATGCCTATCATTTGATTTCAATACTTTTTATATTCCGTCTGGATCTGCGGTAATTTTGCCCATATCAGGATTTTATGGGAAAAAAAAAATAGAAATCATATTTAGTTTATTTTATGCTTTTACGCGTTAAGATTAATATAACAATGTGGGTACGGAAATAACCCAATCTGTCGCAAGTGCAAACGCAAACTAAGTAAGATTGGATTGAACTCGCTCAATCATTTTAAGACTCTTGCTTCTGAGGCTTCGCCTTTTTTGTGAACCTTTTAAAAAGCCGAGAGACCCAAGCAAACCAGACTATGACTCATGAGTTGTAGGAGGCAGAGCATTGTGGTATCCAAAAGAGTATAATATATATGTTACATTTCATGTCATAACTAACACAAAACGCGCGCTCTGATTGTTCCAAATCTATAGTATATTTGCCTGTCTACCTATAGAAAACTGAAACATCTTCCCATTCTGTCAAATGGCGTGTGTGAGTTCCCTGATTTTAATCTTTTAGAAGACTTTGGCTTGGAAGAGACGAAGAGGACTCTTTGAAATGCAAAAATAACGACAAAGGTTTTATTTTTTAACATTATCAGATTTTCTACATATAATGCATTTTAACTAACTGGTTGCTCCCGCGTTTTAAGCCATCTACAGTTGCAAAATTTGGCAGTTGTTTTTTTTTTTCCCTGTCGGTGGATTCTCGATGTTTATGGTCAGTGACTCTTAACGGCCCACGCTTAACCAAGATGTATTTTAGGGGGTTGTGGCCTTTCTCTGTATTTTCTGTGTTACAGAAAAAGGAAAGCCTATCTTCAAGTTGTGTGTAATATTATTCGACCAAATTTTGCAATTTTGATCGAGAACCGGCTTTTTATACCCTAGTTTCTTTAAGTGTCTATCGCCTATTGCAGTACGTATTTTTGTCGTTTCATTCCGCGTTCGCGATAAAGAAGCCACCACAAAAATGTCGTCGTGCACGAAGGAAAGCCGCCGTATTATATGGCTGACTAGATCAATTTAAAGCGTAGAATGAGCGAAAGACAGCCCGGGGATTTGTCAAGAACACGATCAGCGAGTCTGCAAAAGCTCTGCAACACAGCATTTCGGATGAAAATCAAATAAAAAGCTCCTCTCAGCACTTGGGTGACCATCGGACGAGGANACACGTTTCAGTTTGGTTTGAGAGCAAAAGTATCGAGTTCCCAGATACCGTGACAATAACGATTGTGCGCAAAGAACATTGGTTGAGTGTGGCTCTTTAATATCACTACCGGTGGACTCTACAAAACGAGTTAATTCTTTCTTCCATGCATAGTAATGAAAGGGAAAATAAAACTCTTGAGCTGGTAATAATTTGCGTCGTGTTTAGCCAAGAGGTTTCAAACCCTCCAAGCTTGTTTTCCGTTACATTCCAACTGAGATAGACGTTTTAGAGCTCAAAATGAAGAGTAAATATAATAAATAATGCTTGTTTTGATACTTCATTCCCAAACACGATTCGAACTATGGCTGTAAAAGGAAAACATAGCTTTCAGACTTCAAGTGAGGCTTTGTCACGTTGGGAATCCTTCTGATATGATACGTTCCCAAAATGTTGCTCAAAAGAAGATTTTGTTGTAAAATGGGGTCTAAAACCGTGTAAGCTGAGCAGTTTTCTGGCCGTAAATTCCAGTAAACAACAGTTCGAGCATGGTACCTCTCCCACGCATATTTCGACTTCGTTTTCCGAACGGTAAATATGTTTTTTTAAGTGTTGATATGTCCTTAAAGAGTTGCCAAGTGTAAGATTCTACTTTTGAAATCGTACAATTTCGGAATTTTCGACACAATGCTGCGCAATTTCCCGGCTGTGAATGCTAGTAAACAACAATTCGAGCATACTGAATCTACTACGCTTTGCCTCGTCTGTAAGTCACAGTTTTCGGGTAAAACCAGGATTACCTGATATAACTGACATTGTTTTAATAAAACCCTTTCTTCCTGTACATGAGACGTTTAAAGACGCACTCAGGAAACTAGAGTTGCTTTCAGCTGTGCCCCAAGAAATTACAAGTTACGCTTCTCTCGTGCTCTCCAATATTCCTGCATGGATTCCTATCTCGATACACGCACGCGAAGTTGGAACCAATTCATTAGTTAACGTAAAGTCATTTAGATGCATTGTTCAGTTTTATACTGTGGTCAGAGTTAGAGACGTTTGATCAGGATGTGATGTCTTTGATGTCTTTCCATCCATTATCCGGCTTACAAGCCATCATTCCCTTCAATAATCGACCGGAATTAGTTTATAGAGATCAATTTGTTAAGTCCGTT